CTCCTCCTTCGTCCATTTGTCTCCTGTCTATTTCTCCCTTCGTGATTCTACCTGTCCCTCCATGGGACCCAATCCCATTGTTTCTATGTTTTATACTCTGGATCTGTATTTATTTGTCTCTCCCTGCTCCTGAATTTTAGTGGCCAGGGTATTGGTTCGATCTGTATCTACTTTGTTCTGCATTCTACTCTGTGTATCTATGTATGCGTGTCACTTTCTACTTTTGAGTACTATTCTGTCACGGTATAGGTCGAAGGGTCATAGCAATTCCCTTTGTAATTGTCACTCGGTCAACACTACCAATTCCCGACACTGTTGACTGTTCAATTTATTGGTTTATTTATGAACAATAATTGAGAGAGACTTCTTTCCAGGACTATTTTACAAATAAATATTTGTAAAATGGAAATAGTAAGGAATGGAAAGGATTCGCCATGGACCTGCCAGTAGAATTCGTTAATAAGACTACCTAGCAGGCCCGTGTAGACGCCGGGATGTTTGAGATCGGTTGGGAATGACTTATATATGAGGTCCCTTAGGTGGGATCGATCTCTTGTGAGAAACGCGAAACGCGCGGTGTCACTCTAGCGGCGAGGACAGGAGTTATCGCCACAGTGTAATAGGTGCAGAATGAAAGTTCTAACGGGAAGCAACTACATGAAATCGTGTACACAAAATAAAATGAAACTTACTAACCGAGGTAAAACGATCACGTGTGTTACACAGGAAAGTGTACATACAAAATTAAATTAAAAAACTCTCAGTAGTAATTCTTCAAACTTTTCAATATTTTCAGATGCATGTAACTAAATCATTTTGTTTTCTTATTAGAAGCACATGAAATTTAACCCATTCACTGCTAGACAAATTTAAAGCGTTTTGCCTTGGGAACTTAATTTTAATAAAGGCATGTAATCTAGGTTAATATTTTGATAATAAAAAGTGATGTCAAATTTAACGTTTCAAAAAGAAAATTTACGATCTTCTTTTGCAATAATTCGTGACTCGAAAGGCTATAAAGTTGAGTAATTGCAATCAATATGAACTGCGAGACATTTCGTACTTGGTGGTAAATAAATTAAACATGGTATCAGAAATCTAAGAAAAATCCCTAAACACTCTAATTCCCAGTAAACCACCAAAAGTATCCAACAATTTATTCCAGAAACCTGCTACGATTCTATATTAATTCCTCAAAGCTTCCCCTAATCGACAGAAATATTTCTCCAACGCCTAAAAATTCAACGTCAAAAAACGTAGTTAAATCATGAAAACTTTCCCTTTCCATCGAGCCGATAGCGTTATCAAGGAACGAATCATTTAAACGGGATCGTTTCGAGCAATAATATTGGCTGGATGACGCGCCGGTGCCGGAGCGAAGGTGTTAATGTACAGTCAACAAATCATTTTGTTCGTTTTGGGAAAATCTGTTGATGCTGCGCCGCGGGAATGCGGAATGGGTCATTGTTGCCGGCTCGGCCGCGGAAAGAGAAATGACCGCGTGCTCCTGTCATCGAATCATCCGGTTCACGGTCGGGATACATGCTGCGTACGTCGATACGGTACCCTATATGTTTTTTCCATACATAGTTATATACTTTCCGCGCTTTTGCCGGCAATAAAACGCCCGTCACTGGTGAAATCGAAACCATAAACCCTGTTAGGCATCAGCGGCTCGTAAAATTCACGCGATAGTCGCACTTAGATCGCGATACCAATTAAAGGTATATCGTTTACTGGTAACGGTATAAATCTGAATACATAATTAATCGGCGTGGAAGCGCGATAAACACAAATTTACACTCGTCCTTTTCCGGAGGGAATAACTGACCAGGTTCTAAGCAACTTACGTACATGGGAAGAAATTGAACCTGGTTTTGGAGGAGGTCAAATATAAATTGAAACACCAGTAAACGCGATAAAGATAGATTTACGCTCCTTTCAGAGGAAATAAACCGTTAGGTTCTGCAAATTGCATGGAAAGAAAAGATAATCAAAGCTGGAGTGTTTAATGTAATATATAAATCTGAATATTTAATTATTCGCTCGACAGTGAGTTAAACGTTTACACTCAGAGAAAATGAACAGTTAGGTTCTAGGAATTTTCTCCTTCTGGAAAAAATAAATCGCGCGGTTCAATAAATTACGTAGAAAGGAAGGAAAATTGAACTTAGATTCCAAGGAGAATTTAGAGGTAAATAGAAATCTGAATACTTAATTATTCGCTGGCCAACGGGATAAACACACAGAGAAAATGGCTCATTATGGAGCGTTTCGCGTGCAAATTGCGTAAAACGAAAATAAAATTAAACTTGTAAGAAAGTATAGCCTAAGAGTTAAAAAAAAAAAAGAGTGATATTAAGTATTTCCTGGATTCCTGTGGATTTTTCTACATTATACAACTAAAATGTCGTATTTAATGGCTGGGAAATTATTCACTTATTAACGTATGCTGCAAGAAACGGTGAATTTTTAAATTCCTCGTTAGAAAGTCTGTTCTTAGAGTTGGCTGTCTTTTTGTAGAATTTATCATCTATGATATATGATTTAACATTTTTCATCGAATCCTGTTTGCGTGGGTCATTTTATTCTGAGAAAGTCGCCAAGGAATCTAATCAAGCAATAATTTGTAGAATATAGCATTGCTGGAATCTTGTGCAAGTGTTAATTGTTGCGAATGTAATTTATTGCGAAGTGTTAGAAATTTAGGATTCATTAAAATTAGCTGATTGATTTTATAGCTAATTTATTTATTTCTTCGCCTCTAATTGCATAATTCCCACTCGCTCAAATAATCATAATTCATAAACGTTTAGAATCTAAACTTTAGGTGATGAATTCAAACTCTATACTAATTTATTTCATGTAGAGTTTGAACCAGTTTGAACGAATTAGATATTTGAGTAGCATTATTTATTTAACGTACGTTGTACGTTTATTTTTGAATACGCGCGCAACATTGCGTACTCAACACCTCCGTGAGCAATAAGTAGTTTCGTGTGTAAAATTCTCAAATCACGCTGATTAACACACATTCGCCACAAAGATGCTTTTCCAGGAAAACAAAATGATTTCCGTTTCAGGCTAACAAGCCGCCAACACAGCACAACAACCTGAAGCAAATCTTTCTAACACAGCAGGCCTATCAAGCTACTTCGTTTCTGCATAAATTTAACCTCCTATCGCAGCGTTTCTCAAACTGGAGGACCATGGTAAATTCAATTGGGCCTCTTCTTTCGAGGTAGAGATAGAATTATTTCAAAATTCTTGTCATACCTTGTCTTAACCTGAATTTCAAGAACAATAATGAGAGTTGATGTTAAATAATTTTTGTGAGATTCATTGTACCGTTATTTATAAATATTTATTAATTTTTGCCATATTTTTGTGCAATATATATACGATTCTATGAGAATTGTTAAAATTACAATTTTTAACAGTTTCAGATTACGCTAAATAAATATTGAATTCTACCCAAGAGGATCTAAATAAGTAAATAATAGAGTAAACAATAAATAATTTGTCTTATTTTCGTGCAATGACTTATAACAAGTCCAAACTACACCAAACCATT